TTGATCTCCCGAGTTTCATTACTCATATTAATTTTTGAAAATAGGAGACTGCGTACGTCTTGTAAATGCAAGCCAAATTCTTGGGCTGTTTCGTTTTTAGAGGGTTTGAGGGTGATTATATCTTGCACTACACAATCAATTGATCTTTGGTCTGCAAATGTGTCAATGATATCTTGTTTAACAAGTTCCCATGATTGAAATTCAACACGAGAAGCTATTAAATCAGCGCCTCTGCCTACTAATTTGCAAAGTGATAGTGATATACACGCGATCTTCGTTGACAAATTTTTCCGGATTTGATACACACGATCTTCGTTGACAAATCCTACCGGATTTGATACACAATATTTCATTGACAAATCCTACCGACTGCGCCAGTTAAAATCACTTCCTTGGAAAGGGAGTTTTTAAAACAATTTTTATTTCGATTGATATGGATTTCAGCTTCAAGATACAACTGTTCGTTATTACAGGCTTGTGAGAATATATACTGAATTAATGCTGATGAGTTTACGTGCTATCTGTGATATTCCGCTGAGATATTTCCTTATGCTTAGCTGCAAAATAGAATATGAATTTGTGAAGTTGGCTAAATAGGATGTCATAACTCAATTCTGCATTTTGCAGTTTAATCGCAAATATCTCGGAAACAGAGGCGTTTTTGTGCAAAATTAGTAGGCGATTAGACGCAGCCAATTTAAAGGTCAGAATACCGTGTGACCGAAAAGTTAAAACCATTTTTTTGCTCAGACATCGCCGCAAGTGGCTTTTTCTACAAGTTGATCAAAATCTGATGGGATATTTGGTTTTCTTATGCTCAAAACCCCCTGTGTACAAAATTTCGCGAAAATATGCAGCTCCGTTCAAAGTAGAATAACGAAAAACTGAAATTAGAATGTAACTTTTGGACTAAGGCAAGTTCACACAGCTCGCGAAACAATCACTTTACTGCGTACCAAGTTTCCAGACCGTGTCATCTCTCGGTTTGGCGATGAAAATTGGCCACCAAGATCCTGCGATTTAACGCCGATGGACTTCTTTCTTTSGGGTTACGTGAAGGAAAAAGTGTATGTGGACAAGCCACAGACAGTTGAACGCCTTAAAGGAGAGATACGGTGCGYCATTGCTGAAATAGGGCCACAGCTATGCGAAAACGTGATCCAGAATTTTTTGAAAAGAATTACCGTGTGCCAGAGGTTTCGTGATGGTCATTTGCCGGATGTCGTATTTCATGTTTAATCGCAGTTATTCTTCTTAATAATGAAATATTAATTTTTGCTTAGTTCGAAAAAAATATGTATTTTTTTAAATATTAAATCCAGTGCTCTTGTTGAGACACCCTTAAATAAATGTGTAAAAACTTACTTTATTTTATTTTCTACACTTTTCAAATTTAATATGTAATTATTGAAGAACACAATTTTGCAATATATCTAGTTATCTGGAGCATGTCATTAGCGTAATTAAAATTTGAAATTTTCGAAAGTCTAGTTAAAATCTGTTTGCTGCTGCAGTAAATATACTATTCTTAAAATCGTGTTAATAACCAATGGTGAACAATTTTAGCACCCGTAATTTTCGTACAGGAACATTTTTGTATCATAGTTTATAAAGCAAACTATCACTAATTTTCCATGTAGATTCCTTCATTATTTCCCTTCAATTCGCATATCATTAAGCACGGTATTTTATGAAGTCTGTTTACAAATGAATAGGTACTTAGATTTTACTATTTACAAATTCATTTATTCGCTTATGTCTCGTCTCGGGTGCAGATCCTTAACTGAAACTTTTGTTACTGTGAGCGTGCGGTTGGATGTAAGAGAATGTAAATTGAAATGTATTCCTAAATATTTATTAAGCAATTAATAAATTATACGAAAAAACGCCAGCTAATTGCAAACGCTCTGAGCGTCTAAAACATGAGAACAAACCCAAAACTACGACCACCAAACTCTAGAAATGTCGGCTGATTCAACGTTAAAAGATTCCATTTTATATTTCTTTGTCTTTCTTTATATGCTTCTTTGTTTTTCTTTATATTCAAGGCGAAAATATAAAATAAATTATCTGATTTTTGAATGAATGAATATATAATTTTTAAACACGCTGATCAGTTGGAAGTTAAAACCATGGCGCACACATAACTAATTATACTAAACTAATTATAAGTGCATACATATGGAATGGATCAATCAGTTTATCCAAAAGTACTAAATACGCAAAAATTATGCTGAGAGTGAAGGGGAGAGAAATAAACAACTAAAAAGCATCCAACTGATATTCATTTATTTCAACAAAATTACACAGGTCAATATCAGAAAGTAGTTACAAACTAAAAAATTGACGTGTACATTAAATCTGGAAGCATTTTGTTTTAGAGTGTAGAAAAATGATCAGTTCGTCTAAACTTTAGACGCCAAAGTGCAGACTTAATTATGTACCATGTAAAACATAGAAATGAAAAAATTCACAAATATGTACAATTAGGGAACCCCTTGCTTATTCTTATATTAAGACTAACTTACTTAGTTATTTACAATTTGAAATTCTTAGTTAAATCCAACACGTGTATATAAAAGTTGTAAATCATGCTTTTACTAGTCATGTTGCATAGCAAGGAAATTACAAACTGATCAATATTCGATAGTTGTCTGAAAGTAATTATTATATGGAGTTTTATAGAATTTCAAAAATTACGTTTGATATCAAAAGTATATTTTGAACACTATAAACTTCCATATTTTATTTGCAATGCTAAAGTTCAAATAATTTGTTTATACAATGCTATACTACAACAAATCTTAAAGCAAACTAGTTCTAATTTCGATGCGAATATAACTATCCTTTGATGTTAAGCCGCCTTATTTCCGTGAGAACACTTCCGAATCTAAATTTTGCTTAACATTGACGTCAAAATCGCTTAGAAATTTAGAATTAAATCAAGTTATCTATTTGTGAAATCGGCCATAGCAATTAAACTTTGCACTTACCATCAGTTCTCTTCTTATTCTAAAGACCGTGGCTACTTAGGAGATATTTGGATAGAAGGGATGTTAGGAAATTATTACCATAATCCGTCGGGTTTTAAATCACATAGTTAAGCCTGTAAAATTTATATTTTGAGATACAAATACAACTACATAAAGATTATATTAGAAACTGATACAACCGAGCATTCCACATATTCACACGCTTTACCGACATGTACTCAAAGCAGTACACACACAATAATAAATTGTGACTTGTCTACCAAAATTATTTTAAAAAATCTACAAAATCAATCTAACTAGAACGTATAGAAATGCAAAAAAATCTGCCTCTCATGAACAAAAAATTCTTATAATAAATTAGACATATTTGTCATTATATAATGTTTTAATTATAATCTAATTCCGACTTAAAAGATACTTATATTCCATGTTTACAGATTATTTACAACTTGTATAATAAATCTAAATATGGACGCTACACAAACGCCTGCACTTACAACCTTACTCCACAATATCAACATGAAGTATAGCTACATCGAGACTATAAAAACCTAATGCTAACACCACAATAAGTAACATTATAATATTTAAAGATAAACCGGTACGAACATGCTTTCCTAATAACATTTGGTGCAAGTGTAAACCATTCACAAATAAAATTCATTTTCTAGTCATTCACTGTTTATGGGACTTTCAAATCAAAATTAAACTCTAAATCATATAACTATCGATTGCAGGTCAATATCTTTGTGGTACTTTATTATTATTTGCACCGAACATTATTAGACAATGTATTTCCAAGTAATGTGGGGTAAGGTTAAAGGCAGGACGGCCTCAAAGTATTTTTGCTTATGCCTTACAAATGTACAACATTCGACTCGAATTACAGTCACCACGAGGGGGTATTTTAATGTTAAACATTTGTTAATCCCCTATTCTAAACAAACATATCACCTATACGATTCCTATATACATAAAAAAATAAAAACAGACGCTGGTATAGGAGTACTATGCGCACATGAGGGAATAGCTTCACGTTAAAATCGATTATTTCTGAACTCCTAATGTGGGAAATGTACACAATGGAGTTGCTGATTTAAAAAGAACCAGTCAAAAATCTCGTAAATTATAAAAACGCAACAAATGTTGTGGTTTTGCTTACTAAAGGGAAAACCGAAGGTAATAGAACATTTTGATAGGTGTTGCTCCTAAAGTTAGGTAGGCGCAACTTTGACTTTTTAAACGGATTTAATTTTTACTATCGAATACCATTCAGCATTAAGTTTTTACTAGCAACGTATTAAAGGTACATACGAGCTACAGTAAACAGCAGCGCCATTTACCAAAAATTTAATATTTCCCCTTTTCGCAACTACATTTATAAAACACGTTTTCTTTTATTTCGTTAATTTAGGAGATATTTGACTGATTCAAAATTATATGACTGATGTAAAATGCGCCACCCTGAATTTTTCAAATTATCTTCAAGTTCTGTATATCTGATAATACTAAAAAAATATATGTGCACTTTTTGTTGTTAGGCAGTCGCTGCAGTGTGAATTAAAAACATCTTAAGAAAATCAACCGAATCTATTGAAAAATTAGAAAAATGTTTTGATAGTATTATTACTATGTATTATTAAGTGATAATAGAAATCGGGCCGTTTGCGATGATTATACCTTTGAAAACTCTGACATTTTTATGAAAATGGATCTTATATATTATTTGCAACGTGCCAGGGCAGAATGTAAACATTTGTTGTTTTTTTCGACATTTTCAAATATTTCACATTTTCATTCAAATAGTTCTGGCAGACGTTACAGTATGTTAAACTTCCTAACTAAGTTTATCACACTACAACTTTAACAAGTTTTGTCAAATTTATCTTGTCGTGTAAATATAAAAGATGTGATTCTTCTGATTGGACAGATAGGACAGTCTTTTAAATTGATTTAATTTAATAACGTATGAACGTGAAGCCCACCATCTAAATACGACATATCTCTTACCAGCGCCTGTAGAGTTAACACTGTTTACTTTAAAGTTCCTTTAGAGGAAAAAATTACACCATTACGCGTCGCTACGCGCATCCTTAATCGCTAATCTTCGTCGCTTAGGGGTTCGTACTGCGCGGACAGCAAAGGCTTGGGCTCGTTACCTCTATTGTCATTTGAAGAATCTTTGTGAGAGTAGGAATAGGAGTAACCGGACGGTGGAGGCTGCTGATGAGCTGCTCGCGCCTGCAAATGTTGCGCATCCGATTGCTGTTGACTACCGAAGTCATTTTCATGTTTCTCTTCATCAATCACCATGTCACCAGGACTAACGCTGCGGTCCTTGTCCTGAGAATGTGTTTCTTGTATGTCCTTCTTGTCGTCTTCTGTTCGCATCACTTCGACTATCCGGTTTTTTACGTAATCTAACGGTGACATGTGCGATGCTGGTTGATGATAACGTCGATAATTTTGTTCCGACCAGTGGTTGTTATCTGGAGGCGAAAGTGGCTCGTGATGGTACTTTTGCGGTTGGGCAATGCGAATTATCTGTCTTTCGTCTTGTTGCTGCTGTTGAACAGATTGTTGAGGTGTAGCAGATCGCTTGCTGTCGTCCTTTTGATGCTGCTGGGCTTGCAATCTTCGCTTCCACTGTTCCGTTTCTTGCATGTGGTAATAGGCGTTGGTTCGAGTACTAAAATCGTGACTGATCACCGAATCGGTGAGCTCCTTCACAGTTAAGTTTTTATTAACTATTTCATTATCCAAATCAACATTAATAATTGAGGAATTTCTTAATCCATTGTCCTGACTGACTGGCGGGTCTCTCTGAAATCCCTGGAATAGCAAATCACCTGCACGGGGTGGTTCTCGGGAATTCGAAACAACATCGCCTCGGCCAGTCTCAGCGGTCTGATTAATCTGATGAGTAATTATTGCATCTATCAAGCTCGCAGCAGTCATAGTGCTTGGATCAGTTCGACCTTGCTGTCTAGCCTGCTGCTGTTGTTGCTGATGTTGCTGTTGCTGTTGCTGCTGCTGCTGCTGTTGTTGCTGTTGCTGCTGTTGCTGCTGCTGCTGCTGCTGCTGATGCTGTTGCTGCTGATGGTATGCGACTCGGCGTTGCTCTTCAATCCTCTGTTGCTGCTGCCTCATTTGTTGCTGATGCTGAAGAATCTGCAACCTGTGCGGCTGTTCCATAATATTATCCGCCATTGATTTCCCTAATCCTTCATGCGGAGCAGTAGGAACAGGTAGACTTGGCTGCTGCACGGACAACTCCACTAACGTAGATAACGCTTCGTGTCCAGGAGGAGTCGGATGATATTGTGGTCTAGTGTGCCTTTGAATTACACCCTGCCGTTGTTGACTCTGCTGTGGTGGAGGTGGAGTGCGATGCGAACTATTGGTAGGATAATATTGTGGCTTCTCTGGTCTTCGGTTCTGCATTTGTTGAGAGGTCATATAATCATCAAATATCAACTTCCTTTGAGAATTAATATGTTGGTCGTAAGAGGTGCGCTGTGTCGCATATTGGTATTGCGGCTGCTGAGCAATATTCGGTTGACTAGGCATTCTTCCTTGCTTCGGATAGTATTCGAACATCCTTTTATCTTGTTGCTGCACGGCATGTGATGGATGAATAGGTGTGCCCTTTGTTATTGATCCCATTTTATCGCTGGTCTGTCGAAGCAATGCATCGTAACGGGTTGGCTGATTAATAATTGGGGTTCCCAGGGTGATCGAACCGGTCTTTGGATTTGCAGGTTGCGGATTAGGCAATTTTACCTGTGAAGTGCGTACAAATGGGCTCTTCCTTTCTTGATGATACATATAGGGGTCTGATCTATGCATTGATGACTGAACATGCTTCGGATGTGTTGGTGGCATCGGCTCTCTTGGCTTCTTGATACTTAGATCCAAAGTCTCGGACATAGGCTCCCGATTGTCCGGCACTTGTACTACCACTAAATCATCCCGGGACGTCTGAATAGGCTCAGGTTGCGACCTGATAGGACCGGATACTGGTGTAATTGTTGCTCCGATGGTATTGGCCAATTTAGTTATGCTGATGTCTGTTCGAGATTGATGTGGCGGCTGCGATCTATTAGGTAAACTATTCAAACTATATTCGCTAACTATAGTAACTTCGTTAGCGTCATTATTCAGTATAGAAGATATCGTTGGTGTCATGCCCGGGCCTTGGACTGGTACCGGCTGTTGTCCACCTGCCTTATTCAAGGATCTCTCTATCATGTCCATCATCAATTCTTTAACACTGAGAGGACTTTCTGCTGGACGAGATTGATATTCATTGCAAACTGGCGTTATAGTGGCGACTTGATAATGATCGGTTTGCGCCTCATCAGCTGTTTCAGTCGCACTTGAATCGTAGTCTTCTTTCTTAGGGGCGTTTTGATTGCTCCCCTGTATTACTGGGGGACTTTCGGCTGCACTAGTTGTATCGCTTGAGTGTCTTTCTCGATCCCGCATTGGCTCCTCACAGCTTGAAGTACTAGATCCGGATTCTTCCTCGTCTGTTAACGTAGGTTTGCGATCTCCCAAACACACTTCCAGGTTGAGCCGTTTCCGGTTTGCTGCATAAAAACTTCGAACTTGAAAGCCCAATTTGTTGAGTCGTTCACCTAATTGTTGCCAGTTGGCTCCCAGTTCAGTTAAAGCAACCTTCAACTGATTCACTTCATCATCGGGCCATTCTTCCACGGGTCCCAGTCGCCTTTGAATTCGAATGAAACAGGCCGAGCAGCATTTGGTTACCCCACTGGGAATCCGAAATTCGGCTAGGATTGGATCTCGCACGTCCGATGGTAAATCTTGGAGGCGATAAGGAAATGAACGCAATCGCTTTACTCTACCTCTGCCATTTGGACAATTGGGTAATGGACAGTGCGTGTGTCTAGACCGCACCGATTTACATCTACATGTATTGCATACTCGAGAATTATGTGGCACTTCTTCTTCTCGCAGCCCGTATTGGGAAGCTTGACTTGGTTGAAGTGGTCGGGAATGCAATTGGGGACCAAGTTGAGCGTTACAGACAGCGCAGTTTCCTTGGGTGTTTTTATCTGAAACAAATTTATATGCTATATTATCTTCCATAAATATAATTTTTAGAACAAATGAGTTGTAAACAGTAACATGTAAAAGTTATTTTAAGATTTGCCAGAATTTCACCATACATCTGTGACTAACAACAACAATTCTCATAGTCGCAAATAAATGGTTTTTAGAGGAATCGAACTTTAAATTGAAATAAAACTCATAAAATTCATGTTAAGGTCATGCTACTAGCTTTATTGAAACGACAATTGTATGCCTTTATAGCTTAAATATGATTGGGGGCACATGCTCGAATCAAGAGCAATCCACGAATGAAGTCCAATTTTCGACCATTTTGATTCCACTAGACCATAAAAAGGCATGTCAAACAGTGAGTTTTTCTGCATATAAGGGTGTCTCAATATTTTTAAATAAAAACATTTTAGATTTTTGTCGCTCCAAATTCGGCAATTTATTTCGAAAATTGCTGTTCAGTTCGCCCAACTTATATCGACCCTAGACATATCGTTTTTTCCAGTTATGTCCAGAAAACTTTTTTTTGTACTTTTTGGTCTGGAAGAAGTTTGAAAGTGCTCGAAAATTGGACTTCCAGATTGCTGTTCATTCGAGCCTACTGCGGCGTCTATATGCCCCAAATCATAATTAAACTATAATAGCGTAAAATTGTCTTTTCAATAAGACCAGTACCGCGAACTTTTTTTATTTCAGTTAAAAGTTCTATACCTCTAAAAAACACCCTTTATTAAATTTCTTTGAAACTAGTTGGACTTTTATTTCAAAGTTGAACCAAATTTTCCGTAGACACGGTACAGCAAAGCTCAGAACATCGCTTTTTTTTTCATTTTCATTTGGGATCGAGATTTTCTAGAAGTTTTCCTAAAGTCTGAAAGCTTCCCAAGATTGCAAAAATTGCAAACCTTTCTGAAAAGGTTGAGATGGATTTCGTACTCTTAATTCCTAATAGAAATTATGTGGTCAAGATGGTATTCTTCAAATTCTTTCCTGTAGTTGCAACTCTGTATAAACTGAACTGTGTCTGGAATTGCCCTATTCTGTAATCATTGAGAGAAGTCGAAACGATTTAAATTACCCGTTCACTATTTACTTTGCTAACTTTTTAATTTCGAGGTTTCCGCTTGCGAAACATGTTCGCAAGCGACTCCCTGAGCAAATAATATTAATTAACTCTAAGTGACGTTTATTAAGTGAACAGAAGGTTAACGGTATTTGCCCAAAGTTTATTAAAATATATACGAATGCCGTTATTTGATGAACCATGGATGAATTAATGAAGTAAAAATTGTACGAGCAAATAAAGCCAATTTGAGGTATGACTTTATGCATCAAAATATTAAGGAAGCTGAAGTAGCAATTTGATTAAATAAATTATGTTCGATTATTTATTAGATCCGAAATTTAAAATGGTAAATATTAGAAAACTCACATCTACCCTATAAGGACTTGGATTTTTAATTAAGTTTACTGAACAACTCGGTTAACCGCTGAATAACCTCCACCACAAATTTCTATTTGGGTAAACTTTATATATAATCGATCGTCAATATAATTGATCAAAAACTTAAGAGGATCTTTTTGATGTTATTCAAATTTAAATCTTGAGACTTTCTTAAATAATTATTTAATTAGTCAATCGGTTTTATTTTCTTTCAGATTATTAATTGTACGTAACTATGCACATTGAATTTGTAATGGGTATAAAAAACTTACATATGAAGATTTGGAATAGCATGATAAACTACATGGAAGAACACCAACAAAAAAATAATGAAAACTCCGACAAAATAACAAAAAATGAAATAGACTTCATAATTACAAACAGGAAATACATAGTTACAGAAGTAACTGTACTGAATAAGGTGCAAACTGGCGACCATCGAATAGTGAAAGCAAAGATAACAATAAATAAAAAATTAGACAGAAGAAAGTTAACAATTAACAAAAATAAATCTATAAAGCTCAGTGAACTAAGAGAACACGAAGAAGCTTACAGAAACAACATTGACACATCACTAGAAAATGATCTTATGATTCAAGAAACCTGTGATACACTAAAGCATTACATAACAGCTGAACTGATAAGCACTGCAAAGGAAATCGGTAAAGTTGCACCAAAGAAACAAGCGCTGAGTAAGATAACAGAAGATACACAGAAACTAATACGGAGGAAGAAATAACGAAAAACTAAATATGACAGACGAAGATCTGAAAGTAATAAGCAAACAATCCGGAAGACAAGCAAGAAAACATGTGAAACAATACAGTGTGTCCAGTATAAAATGATGTACATGGGGATATTTGAAACCGTTATATACAGAGTGGACCAAATGGAGAAAAAGTGGTGCAATCAAGTGCCTATAAATAATCTGTCATCAACTTCTTTGAACGCGGAATAGCAACGGATATACAGGGAAAAAAAGAAAAAAGTGCGTTTTATAAAATCCTGTATATTTTGTTTATTATAAGATACAATACTGAAATTTTCAGGGGGGGGGGGGAAGAAATGAACGTGAATTTGAAAATAAAGTAAAAATAATCTAGGCCCACTATGTTCAATGAGGCCGAAGTCAACTTTTGTTTTTCTTATGGGCGCCATATTGAATTCTTGCATTTTTAAATTCCCCTTTAAATATGTTCTTCAACCATGTATAACATGTTTATGTTCGGTCAAGATAAATAATTAAAATTAACAAAATTAAGATTTTATGGTAGTAGGCATTGATATTTCTCTTCAATTTCCCCAGAGTGACGTTTGTTGTCTGTTTTAATTACCTAGGTAACTGTCAAAGTAGAATTTATTGTCAGTGTCAAGTGTTTGTAATTAATTGTGTGTTTCCAAATGAATCACGTTTCAAATTATGAAAATACGATATGTTAGAGTGTTTTATTCTCTGTCGTCGAAATGAAACGAAAGCTGAAGAAATGTATTTAAATAAATATCCAGAAAGGCGACAACCTGGTAGAACTATGTTTAGGCGTCTGAAAGACAACCTTGTAGCTTACGGGAGTTTTGCAAAGGCAAAGAAAAACAAACTTCGAGACGAAAATAAAGAAAATTTGGTAATGCAAAGCCTGGTTTTACTCGTACATCTTTACGTCAAATTGAAGCCACAGCAGGTGTTGCGCGGTCAACGGCGAATAGTATTTTAATGCGTGATAAATATCACCCCTATCGTGAACGGCCCTGCCAGGGACTCCAGAATGGCGATGCGATTAGAAGAATGGCATTTTGTCAGTGATTTATTCAAAGAAATAACGAGATACCAAACTTTTCCTTAAAAGTCCTTTGGTCAGATGAGAGCCAATTTACTAAATGTGGACTATTTAATCGTAAAAATACCGTTTTTTCGTCTGATGAAAATCCACGGCTAGTTTTTCAAGTTAGGTTTGGATTTAACGTCTGGGTAGGTATTGTGGGTACCCACGTGATTAGACCATTTTTTTAATGAGAACTTAAATTCCGAGAGATATTTAAACCTCTTACAAACTAACGTAGCGGAAGCACTTATGGATGTTCCAGTAGCTACCCTGCAAAACTTGTATTTCCAACAAGACGGTCGTCGCCACATAATGGACATATTATCACAGAATTTTTAAATCACGAATTTCCCAACAAGTGGATAGGCAACCTGGGACCAGTAAGATGGCCTGCGAGATCTCCTGACATAACACCACTTGATTTTTTTGCATAGGGTTTCCTCAAAAATGTGTTATACTGTGGGTCATACGAAACCGAAGAGGAGCTGAGACATTCTGTTATAGAAGCTGTTAACAGAATTACCCTTAATGATCAGAAAATCCTGTGAAGCAGTAATGAGACGATGTATATTGTGCGTGCGAGAAAACGTTGGTTTATTTGAACGCCTACTTTAATCCTAAAATGTTACTAGTTCTTTTGCAGTGTTCGATGTATGATCAATAATAATTTAAAGTAATAATTAATGGAACTATTAATGCCTACTACCATAAAATTTTAATTATTTATCTTGACATTTTCAAATTCACGCTCATTTCTTAACCCCCCCCCACACAAAATATAAAGGGTTTTATAAAACGCATTTTTTTCTTTTTTTCCCTTTATATCCGTTGCTATTCCGAGTTCAAAGAAGTTGATGACAGATTATTTATAGGCACTTGATTGCGCAACTTTTTTCCCATTTGGTCCACCCCGTAACTCTAACGGATTCCAATATCCCCATGTACATCATTTTATACTGGCCACACTGTATAACGACAGAATGATGGAAGAAATAATTGAAAACAACCAAGGCCCCAAAATATTTAGGAAGAAAATAAGCGAAGGAGGAAGAGAAATAATAAACATAATAGACGAGACGACAAATAATGCCCGAAAGACAGGACATTATAAGAGCAATAGAACGATTCAACCAGAACTTATACGCATCTAAAACCCCAGAACTACTAGACATACAAATGAGCCCTAGAGGAAGGCAGACGCTAATAAGATAAGGTGAAATCTATAGGGTAAAATCACGGGTAAAGTCACTTTTGTCCAGTCACTGGTATTTCATTCAACCATCGTTGAATTTCAAACAATGGTTGAATTCTCCATTCAATTCTGTGATCGCTTACGAGTTACCTGATAATTAGCAGGTACATGTGAACTATGATGGAATGTGTCACGGAAAAAACCAACACAA